TTTCTATATAAAGATTATGCGTTTCATGGGTTTCTTCCGTGCCCAGATCTATTCTTGAAATGCCAAGATTCACGAAACGTTGGCATTCCAAGAATGTAGATCTGGACACGGAAGAAACCCGCAAAACGCATAATCTTTATACATTTATAAGATATTATTTTCACAAATAAATCATATGATTACTAATATAAAATGTGATAGTGAATAGAATTACGAGTGCAAAAGTAAGTTATACATATATAAAAGATGAATAGGATATTAATAAATTGTAAAAAATATATTATCATCAATGTAAATTATATGTGTAATATTTAAAATAATTAATTATTTAATATGAACACAATACTAGTTCAATACTGAACAAAATCCAATTATTTTTAAAAAATTAATGAAATTAATGAATAAAATCTATTTTCAACTTAATGTGTGATAGTCGAAATTTATATACAGTATAAAAGATATTACGATTCTTTCACAAATCTTTCAATCAATTTGTATGAATCAGCATATATCTCGTTACATTATAACATTATTTCGTATTCTATTGCGTGTGAAATAGAAAGATAGTAATAGAGATTGACGCTTACAGAGCGTTTTTCATACACAGCATTCGTTTGTGCATCACAAATTTTCTCATTTTATAGTAATGAGACGAAAAATGACTTCAATTCGATATAGAAAATGCTGAATGTTCGATTAGAAATCATATGGAACGATCGTTGGGATACTTGCACTTTGGATAATTACACTCGAAAAATATACTTCTCATAGAGAAGCGCGTTGATGGCAGCTTGGCGTATCGTCGATGTGTTTCTTCACGTCATGCGTCAGTATCTTTTTTTCTTTATGAGCGTTGCTCTCCACCCTTTTGCTTCCTTTATTACCTGCTTTCGTTTCCGGTATTAGGTATTATGCGATATACTGTAGCTGTATATATCTAAAAATCCGCAAATGTTGAGTATTTCAGAATACTCTGTTTCCACCGTGATATCTGTCTACGCGACAAATACGTTCTTACAGTAACCTCCAATAATTTTCTACGGTAAATTCCTTCGAAAAATGCGTGAAACTGCGAGAGCTGTGTAACGCGATGTTCCCCCCAGGCTCGAGAAAAAGCTTTACCACTCGTA